TCTCAGCAGCAGAGTCCTAATGGGTGTTTGGCTCCTGGCTTGCCATCTAGTCAGGAAGTAGGGACATGGTTCTTTTTGGAATAGCACCCCCTAAAGTGAAGAGATACTTTTCTATCACATCCTGACAGTTTTGAGCTCTTAATTCACAATTACAAACAGTTCTTGTCTCATCTTTTTCATTTTTTTGATGTTCTTCTACTATGCCTTTATTGCTAGCAATGAACCATAATAGTTCATTTTTTCTTTTTGTGTAGCTTTGTGCGATATAATGGCTTTCAGCATAATCACATTTATGTAGCTAGCGATCAACTTTAGAATATTTTCACCCATATACTCTAGTAGTAATGTCCGTTCTCTTCCTAGCCCCTCCACCCATCTCCCACTCGCCAACCCCAAGCCTTCGGCAGCCACAAATCTACTTTCTGTCTCTGTAGATTTGCCTCTCTTGGAATCATGCCATATGTGGTCATTCATAATTGCCTTTCGCTTAGCATTACATTTTCAAGGTCCATCCATGCTGCGGAACCTCAGTATTTCATTCCTTTTTATTGTGGAATAATATTTCACTCATTATGCCACATTGGCTATAACTTAACTTTTGGCTATTATGAATGATAGTGTTATGAATACTCATGTACAGGTCTTATATGGATGTATATTTTTATTTCTCTGGGCATCTACCTAGGAGTGACACTGCTAGGTTATATGAGAACTCTATTTTAAACTTTTGAGGAACAGTTATAATGTTTTGTAAAATAGTGCTACCATTTCACACTTCTGTCAGTAGGACATGGAGCTTCCAGTTTGTCCGTATTCTTACCAGCACTTGCTATCTGTGTTTTTTATTACAGCTACCTGCCTGTGCATGAGGTGGTATCTCCTTGTGGCTTTGATTTGCTTTTCTCTGATGACTAGTGATGTTGCGCATCTTTTCAAGTGTTCTCTGATCACTTACATACCTTACTAGAGAAATGTTTATTCAGATCCTTTGCCCATTTTTAAATTGGATTCTATGTGTATTATGGCATTGTAAGCATTTATTTTTGTTGCTTCTAGTACAAACCTCTTATTAGATATATGATTCACAAAATTTTTCTTGTGTTCTATGGGCTGTATTTTTTCTTTCCTGGTGCTCTGCTGGTGTCTGACCCCATCCTACCATCACCCACTGGTGTCCTTTGAAGCATAAAATTTATGAGTTTTGAAGTTTACTTAGATTTTTTTCACCTTTATTTTGTGTGTGTGCTTTTGATATTGTATGCGATAAACCATTGCTTTACTCAAAGCCTGAAGATTGACCGCCTATTTTCTTCTAGGAGTTTTATAGTGCTAGCTCTTACATTTAGGCCATTGATTCCTTCTGAGTTAAGTTTTGTGAATGATACATGGTGAATGATACAGCTTTATTCTTTTGCATGTGAATATCCAGTTGTTGCAGCACCATTAATGAAAAAAGCTATTCTTTCCCAGTTGAATGGTCTTGGCACCCTTGTCAATAATCAGTTAATTGAAAATGTGAAGGTTTGTTTCTAGATATTCACTTCTGTTCTTTTGGTCTATTTGTCAATCCTTGTGCTATTACTATACTGTCTTTAGCTTGTAATAAGTTTCAAAACTGGGAACTGTGAGTCCTCCAACTTTGTTAATTTTTAAGGTTGCTTTGGCCACTGTAGGTGCCATCCACTTCTATGTGAATTTTAGCTTCAATTTGTTAATTTCTGCAAAAAGTCAGCTGGGAGTTTGATAGGAATTATGTAGACTCTGTAGAAAAGTTTGAGGGAGTGTTGCCATCTTGTTCATCCACTCCATGAATACTGGAAATCTTTCCATTTATTTAATTCTTCCTTAATTTCTTTCAACCTATATAATAATTTCTTTATTTTATAGGTTCTGCACTTATTTTGTTAACTCTTTTTGCTGTTATTGTAAATGGAGTTTTTCTAATATTATTTCTGGGTTATTCTGTTGCAGCTGTATAGAAATTACATTGAATTTTGTTCCTCTTGTATTCTGTAGTCTTCTTAAATGCACTTACTTGTTTTAGTCGTTTTTTAGTAGCTTCCTTAGGACTTCCTACAAAGAAGATCATGTCATCTATGAATATAGTATTTTTTCCTTCCTTCCAATTTGGATGCCTTTTATTATTATTATTATTATTCTTTGCTTTATTTCATTGTCTCGCTGGCTAGTCACCCACCTCTTACCTTATTTTGCAGTATTTGATACAGTTGATCATTTCTTATCACTTGTAGGTTGCTATTCACTTGACTTCTTAGAGACGGCATCTTTTGATTTTCCTCATCTCATTGTCTGCATTCACATCACTTTTTGCCGGTTCTTTCCCTCCTTATAGCTGAACTGTACTTCTCGACAAATCACAACGTGTATAATCCTACTTTTCTCTTCTCAAGGTGTCATTTGGAGTAGTGTGGTGGGTCAGGAGAAAAAGATCTCATAGGGTCACTGGGCAATAGAAACAGAATGGTTGTGAGCCATGTGGTGTTTTGGGACTTCGGCTGTCCTCTTCCATGCTGAGTGGACACATAGAGGTGCCTGCGTGTGCAGACAGACTTCCCCACCTCAGGGAAAGCTTAGCACAATGTTGGCTGGTTTCTCTTAGCTACTTTTGCATATTAGATTTTCTTTGTTTTTGAGGTTATCTTACCCACCCAGTAGAACCTCTCTCATTTATTGACTTAATTGGATTTCCCTTTATCTTTGGTCCTCATTCCCTATTACTTCTTTCCCATAGTTGTATAAATTGTCATCTCCTCTGAGTTTGTGCAATATATTCCTCTCTGACATTTGTTTGTTTAGTACTTGGCTCTGAAACTTGCTCAACTTTTCTGAGTCAACACTTCTTTATTAAAAGGTTGGTTACAAAAAAATATATATCGTTATATTTAAATAATAGTGGCAGCTCCATTTGCTCCCTAAAATCATATCTTTATTAGAAGTGAAAATGTCCACTATGAATCTGGTCATGTTGGGAACACATATTTATAATAAGTCTTTTTTTCCAAATTAAAAAAAGAAACAAACATTTACACTGTTCTCAGGTGGCATCTACAGTCACATTTGTCCCCATGATTTATGTCTCCAGGCAGCTAAAAAAGGAGGAAAAATGGTCTTGAGACCCAGTTAGGGGCAGAACCAGTTGTGTCAAGTTAAGCTGGTTTGTTCTGAGAAAATCTGTTAAGGGTCTACTGTCCACTGTGGGTGAGGTCCCATCCCAAGGTATTGCCTCTTGGTGTCCAGAGAGCTCCCCCCTTCCCAGAAAACTCCTCACTGCTAGCTTGATTTATCTGCTGAACCTTTCCTGGTCGCCATTCTCTATTGGAGCTAAACTTTTTTCCATCTTTCACAGCTAAGTGTCAGCCAATCATGAAGTTTTATGATAAAGTATCTGGGGTCAGAAATGTATTCAAGACTCAGGTTTCTGTCAGGGATTTGTGTCATCTGAGCTTCACAGAACAGATGATGTCGAAGGGTATTTATAGCTCTAGCCTGCTCAGGCTTTGTGATTCTATTCTCTGATAAGGGAACTTGGACTAATGTCACTGAGGTGTGCAACCAGCACAGTATTTGGCACTGAATTAATATACTACACCAGGGGTGGCAAATATGTAGCTTCTCATCCATCTGTCAACCTTGGTAGACAGATGGACATCATATTTATCTTAGCACTTACACAGAACCCAGTCATTACCTCAGACTTTTCAAACCAGTGGATCACAGTTAAACTGGGTTTGTCTTTCTTATCCTCCCTCCTACCTCTCATAATCTAAAGGGAGGGACTATGAAGGTAAGAACACCATAGTTGGGAGCATGGATTCTGGGGTTTAGCTATCTGCATTCAGATCCTGTCTCCATTGCTCCCATTCTCTGTGACCATGGGAAAGTTACCTGACTTCTCTGGGCCTCAGTTTCCTTATTTTAATATAGAACAAAACAAGAGTACTACTTCATGGGATTATAGAGAGGATTAAATGAAGTAAATGTATAAAAAAGTGTATAGAATAGTGCTGGCACAATGTAAATCAAGTAGTGTTAATTGTCATGTTAGTCATAGGCATGGTAAAAACTTGAAAGGCTGATGGAGGGAAAATTCTTGGGTTAACATGACACACAGCACCCCTTCAGTCTCCAGAGTATTTTATTATTCATTCTGACTTTTAATGTAAATTAACCCCATTTTCTGATTCATTCATTTCCTCCCCAAATGTTTAGGAACTACTTTGTTCCAGATGTCTAGGTTTAACAGTAGACAAGCCCTTTTTAGGGCACACAGTGTCAGGGGTGGGTGAAGAACAAGTAAAAAAGGTAGTTTTAATATTTTTAATTGCAATGATTTTAGTTTGCAAAGGATCTTTAGGGATCACTTTATGTGCAGGTGGAGTCTTCCTGGGGATAGTGTTAAATCTGGGTGAGAAGAGAAACATTAGTGAATCTCTTGGGGGAATTCTTGATACTTGTTCTTGAGAGTTGCACACTTCAGTGGCGTGCTCATGCTCCTCAGTGTTCATTTAATCTCTTGACTGACAGCCCCAACCTTTTCCTGCTGCTCCTGAGCTGTTCTTTTGTCTTAGTCAGGGCTAATGGAGCTGGGGAGCAGAAAGTAAGGAAAAATGAAAGAGACCTGAATTTGTAACTACAGATAGTTGAATCTCTCAGTGTGCCCTAAGAAAGTATGACTATTCAGCTTATTGGGATCTTTGAAAAATTGATGAGACCAGTCTGCAAATTCTGCAAAGATAGGACAAATCTCTATGAAAGCCTTGTATGACAGCAGTGTAGAGTCTGGGTGGGTGAAAATATATTTTTTCATTGTTTTTTCTTTATTGAGGAGACATTGGTTTATGAGTAGGTTTAATAGATGTCTTTAGGGGAATAGGTTTACCCCTCCTCAGATGTATGTTCCACATTGAAAAATATTCTTGTTTGTTGGGGATGGGTGTTTGTTCTGTGACCCATTTTGTCCCCTCACTGGTGTCTTACAGTAAGCAGCTGTTGTGTGACGTGATGATTGTGGCCGAAGATGTCGAGATAGAAGCCCACCGTGTGGTCCTGGCAGCCTGCAGCCCCTACTTCTGTGCGATGTTCACAGGTATGATGAGAGGCAAGTAAGAACCAGCAGGTATGGGGCTGTAGCCCCACAGGGAGGACAAAGGAGGGTGGTAGCATGAGGGGAGGGAGGGAAGAGAAGGCAATAGCAGAGCAATACTTCCACGTGCCAGACACTGTGTTTTGCATCTTGGATAATATTATGGAGCCCTAGTTGCAGCCAGGTCAGTTGGGCATGCAGCTCCCTGTTCCCCATGAGGAGAAAAGTGGTGAAAGTAGTTCATTAATTGTGCAACTCTGGCATGCATCGTAATCACGCCGAGGAGCTTGTTAAAAATGCAGGCTCTTGGGCTCATCCCCAGGCACTCAGATCACTTTCTTGGCTGATGAGGAACGCTGAGGCCAAGAGAGGAAGGATTTGCCAAAGGTCACACAGTGATTGTGTGGGACTTGGCTTCCTGACACCAAAGGTCCGGGGCTGTGCTGTCTGCTCCACAGTTTACCGGTGGTGGTTCTTCCCTCCACAGGGGGCCATGGCCACCTCTAGCATTTACAGGAGTGTGGGAGATGTTTGGGGAAGTGATGGTGGGGCTTAGAGGTTAGTAAGACACAGGAATGTTCACCATCTGGCATTCAGCTTCAGCATCTTTGCCAACCTTGCAGGGAGTTCCTGTTTCCTGGGTATGCCAAATTGGCTGGTGCAACCACTTCACATGGTACCTCAGTGGCTTAATCCCTGAAGCCCTCAGGCTGAGATTATAGTTCCTCACAACACTTGCCCTGAACAAGGTGCTCTAAACCATTGCTGACTTAGGACCAGCTGGGCGGGGTGAGGGCACCTGGACTGAGTCAGGTGTCCTTTCTCATGGCCTCCGAGCACCCTGCGCTCTCTCCAGGTCTGGTGACTCACTCTGCGTTGTCATGTTTCCTGGTGAATGCAGTCCTCATGCTCTGATGGCTCATGTATCAGCTGCTTCTTGTTCTGCAGTTTACAGCTCTAGCTTCTTTTGCTCAGAGAGGGCCTCTTCTGATCATTCCCCACTGAGTCTCTTCCTTCTATATAATTTTTTTTAAAGAGTTATTTATTTGTACATACAGAACTGGGGTACAGAGGCTCAGGGGCGGCGAGAGGCTTCACCAGAGACAGAGCGGGGAGCAGAACAGGCAGATCTATGAAGTACACTGCTGAGGGGAGCAGCGGGCGGGTCAGGAGAGGTCTGCCACGCCATGTGGTCACCTCTGGGGCAGGCGGGAATCAAACTCATGCAGAAGTGGCTTTAGCTTCTTAGTGCTGTGCTTTAATCCGCTGCACCATCAGGGAGGGCCCCTACTCTATAATTTAACATTTTTTTCCCCATAATATTTGTCACTATTTATAAAACATGTATGTTTGTTTTTATGTGTATTTTACCCATCTCTCCTCACAAGCATTTAAGTTCCATGAAGACAGGAACCTTGTTTGTTACTACATATATTGTGAGCACTGGGCACACTTAAGAATCAGATATGTTTTAAGTGAATGAATGAATGTTTCCAACATTTGATTGTGAGTTCTGGGTCCCTGGGAACCATGTCTTAATGTTGCTGAATCAGTACTCACTAAGGGACTTGGTATTTTGGGGGCAGTGGCTAAGTGAAGTTTTCGAGAATGAAAACTTTGCTTGCTAAGAATGGGTGTCTGCAGGCACATTTTGCTGGACGGGCCCAGCCTGTGCAGGGCAAGAGAGATTCTTGCAGGGGGAGAATTGGTATTTGTGTTTTGGGAGTTCCTCCCATGTGCTTCCTCGTTGGCTCACCATGGAAAGGAGCTGTCTTCACTCGGAGCTGTGTCTTAGCTAAGTAGACCAAACTCACCTTAAGCCTTGGGCCAGGAATTTCATAAAGTAGCCTGGGAAAGCAGCTGATTTTACTACCAGGAAATTTTCAGTTACATTCTCTTCGGATTAATCTTAAACCATACTGGTAAGATTTTTTACTTATTTTCCTCCCTTTCCATTCTTCTCTTTTAAGAGAATTTTTCTTGTCTGCAGTAGTTTTGTCAGTCACTGTTCTCTGTGTGTGTGGTTTGGAAAGTCCAGTTTTCAAAGGAATCTGTTTGGAATTGCAATGAATTGTAGTCTTGGCTTCATTTGTTTTTGCTAATGCGTTTGCCTCAGGGATCGTAGAAGTGCCTAAACAAAACCAAGGTGATTTTAGAAATGGAGAGAGAAGATAATTCTAGGCAGGCCGCAGATTCTCCTGATTGAAGGAAGAAGAGACTCAAGAGAGGAATGCAACCTAATGTAATGTCCAGCTTCCTGGCCAGGGATTGAACTCATGATGCCGTGGCTGGTGATAGCTTCATAATACTGAGACTTAACCCTTTATGCCACAGGGAGGCCATTATTAAGTCCATTTCTATCAACATATTTATGCACCCCCACAAAAAAAATTTTGTAACTTTCTTTTAACTTGAGTGGTGTTATTACAGTCTTTTATTAAGCTGAAGGTGTTTTTATTTTTGTATTCTGAGTTTATGTTGTATTTGGAGGTTCTAAATACCAACCCCACTCCTTAACCATGTTAGTAACTTGGAAAAAATGTGAAACTGAGATGTGAGTGCCCATAGGCAAGTGTCCAAGGGCAGCTGGCCTGGGAGAAGACTTGGGATGGGCAGTCAACAGGAGTGGATAGGCCAGCAGTGTGGATTCTGTCTGTCTGTCTCCTGAGAGTGTGGAATACTTGCTATTCACCCCACCCCCATTCTCTTCATGTAGCACATCTATCCCAGGAATTAATTTTCCCAAAATAGCCTAGTCAGTTTTTTCTTTCTTTATCATAACCTTTATTATGGGATCTATGTATTGTGGTGTTTATACTCCATATAGGTCCCTACATGTCATCCAACTATTTAAAAAATCACTCTACTTTATGGGTTTAAAGGAACTGTGGCCTTTACTAATATATATGTGGGTAAGGGTCTTATGCCCAAGACATTGAGCTTCTACTCCATAAGAAACTCTGGCAGTGAGCTCTCCCTCTTTCTGGTTCTGTCATACTATCTATGTAGTAGCTGATTGTAGATTGTATTGGTCTTTGTTTTCTAAAGAAGAGTTACGGCCTAGTTTTTTTTTTTTTTTTTTAAGATTTATTTATTTGTACATACAGAACTGGGGTACAGGCCAGAGGCTCAGAGGTGGCGAGAGGCTTCACTAGAGACAGAGTGGGGAGCAGAACAGGCAGATGGATGAAGCACACTGCTGAGGGGAGCAGCGGGTGGGTCAGGTGAGGTCTGCAGCGCCATGTGGTCACCTCCGGGGCGGGCGGGGATGGAACTCATGCGGAAGTGGCTTTACCTTCTCAGTGCAGTGCTTTAACCCGCTGCACCACCAGGGAGGGCCACAGCCTAGTTTTTATTAGATTTAGCTTGATATTCAATTGGTATCTGCATAATGAGGAGAAGTAGGGAGGAGGAATAGTAGAAATATTAGGATTGTGCAGAGGTCAGGAGAGGGCAGGCAAGAGGCAAATGACTTAGGTTTTGAGTGGACACCAACCGTCACAAAGCAGAACAATGAAAGTCCATCTGTCTTACTCATGGGCACAAACTCATTGCATAGAATCTTTGTTTCACTCTTCCTTCACCCCAGACTCTGCCAGGCCATGGCCCACGCCTGTGTTCTGGGTGTTTGTGTGGTGAACTGAGGCCTTTAAGATCTTCTCATAATACGCAGCCCAGCAGTATTTAATCCAAGACAATGAATGGGGCAGGGAGGAAGGGAGCTGAATCTTTGCTTTGGATAAGGGAAGTTGTAGAACAGTACTATGTCTTAGGGTCTAGTTTCTGAGAGTTTTGCCCCTGCAGAGATTGGTTAGAATAGATCAGAAGAAAAAAAAATGACTTAGAAGCATTGAGACTGCTGAGGATTAGAAAGTCATTGCCTCATGTTGCATGTGAGTGTCTGCTCCAGCGTGAGAGTCAGTTAGCTGGTCTGAAACTACATGATACAGGGGTTCTTCTTGTCCCTCCCATACTATATCAACATAGAGGTGTGGGATTTGCTGCCTTAGGACACCCAGATTGGAGGCTGGGGGTTGTCTAAAAAATTTGTAAAAAAAAAATTTCTTTATGCAGAAATGGTGATTTTTTAAAAAAAAATTTATAACAGTTTATTTTTACATCATTTTGTACACTTTTTTGTTTTTATCTCAATTGTAATCCCCGTGGGCTTCCCATCACCAAATCACCTGTGTGCCATCACCATAGTCCCGTGTACTTTCCTCCCCCCTCCTCATCCCACGTTTTTGATCCCATTCCCCACTCCACCCCCATAAAATGTCTCTGGTATATGGCTGTTCATTATTCTTATTATTTTCTTGCCTGGTCCATTATACTCCTGCTATGAGTGAAAGGTGATTTTTTTTTAAGGCTTGACTTGAATATGGTTCAACACAGGCCCAGATGGCCACCTGGGAACATAGACCTTCATGCAGATAACTTCAGCTCCTCATTAAGGTGTGACTAGATTGACCATACTGCTCTGGGATAGACTTGTCTGGGTTTAGAGTCATCTAGCCTTGAAATCCAGATCATCGTTGAGGATGCCCATGTGTAATGGATGCTTTGTGAATGTTCTTAGAGGCTTGGAGTTGTTGATGTGAAGGCCACTTTGCAAGCATTAAATACGGGAACAGGAATTCCAACTTGCGCTGGGAGATGATGTGCTCTGGAAAGGGCTTTGGAGCCTTAAAGAGCTGGGGCTCCGGTCCTGACTCCAGCACCTCTCTGATCTTCAGCTTTCTTACCTGTGAGATTTGAGTAATAACAATAACCAGGGAATAAGTGGTGGTAATGAGAATGACTCATACAATACAGAACAGGTACTTCCTAAACTTTGCTTTTATTATTGTATAACACTTAGCTTGCAAGTCTGCTGTGCAAGGCTCGACTCTTGATGACCAGCTGCCTCAGTGGTGGTCAGGTTGATGAAACCTCTGTGTGACTGCACAGGCATTTCCTACCTAACTTGGCGTTCCATGTGCCTCCAGCTGAGCAGGGAGGCCTCCCCAAGTGGAGGAGGCAGTGATGCCAGGGAGCATGGTGATAGTGTGATAGCGACCACTGCCGATCTGAGTCCTGACATCACAGCTCATCGTCCTCTTTGATTCTCACACAGTATTGGGACAAAGGCAGGGCAGGGGATATCCTTATTGCACAGGAGGCAGGGGTCTCCATTTGCCAAGAAATGATCCAGAACACTCCCCGGCAAGAAAGCTGCGGGGATTTACGCAGGTCCCAGGGTACTTCTTGGGTATTTCTCAGCTCTAGTCAAGTTGGCAACCCAGAGTTTAGGACCGAGGGAAACGAAAGAAAGATGAATGTAAGAATCTTGTTTTCTTTCCACCTAGAAAATGAAACAACATTGCAAATTTAAGGAGAAGTTAGGAGGAGTGAAAAAGAATTCTACAATTTAAGAACTTCTGTGTGCACTTTTTTTTTTTTGCCCTTTTGACATACAACTTTATAATAATTTAGCTCTGGGTCTCAGAGACACCTGCCAGCCACCCTGCTGCTTCTTTCTCATTTTTGAGGTTTCTTTTGTTGACGAATGGGGTTGAATTTACACTGAGGACTTAGAAGATGAGTCTCCTATGATTGTGAAAGATTTTCCTCTTTCACACCTCAAGATGTACAACCCTCTCTTCCTGCCCCCTTTGTCAGTCTCCCACCCATAAGAGGAGCTCAGTTGTGCACATACAATACTTGCTGGCATTGAGAGCTCTGACTTGGACACCTGTACATTGTAGAGCTGTGGCATTGATTACTTTTCTATGGTTCCTGGAAACTTCTAGGTACAAGGCCCAAAAGTGGAGTTTGAGGATTTAAAGACATTCAAGAGATAACCCTTTAGTCCAGGCCACCATCATCTCCTGCCTGATTTACTGCAGCAGACTATTAAAAAGTCAACATTATCCTATTTTGTGCCCCCTTTTCCAACCCATTCTTCACACTGTAACTGCGATGATCTTTCTAAAATCTTTCTAAATCTAATGAATCCCTCCCCTGCTTAAAATCTGTCAGGGGCTCTGTATTGCACCCAGGGAGAATTCAAACTCCTTAGCCTGGCTTACAAGACCCTTAGGTAGGCCCTGCCCTACTTCTGTCTCCAGCCTTACCCCCCTATTCCTCAACTTGCAATCTGTGCTTCTGTAGCTCCAACCTCTTATGGTACTAGTCATGTTCTTTCTACTTCCAAATCTTTACATATATTCTTTGGGCTTGGACTACTCTCCCTTCACACTGACTTATCTTGATAATTCTGACCTCTTTTCCACATATCATTTTAGATCAGTTGTTCTTAACCATTATGAATAAATCTGATGAAAACAGTGGATTCTCCCCCCCCCAAAAAAAAAAAAAACCCAAATGTGTATTCTGCTCTCAGCTTCAGGGCACAGGAATCCCTATTTGAGAAACTTTTAAGCTGAGCCCCTTTCCAGCATTTAACACACTTTATAGTTACTGGTTTGCTTATCGCTTTCCACTGAATTGAACTCCATGAGGGCAGGACTGTGCCTTGTTCACCTTTGTGTCTTAAAATAGTGCTTGGCACATGGGGATTATTTGATACTTTTGTTGAATGAATGAATGACTATCTGCTGTTTAGTGGATCATGCTCTATTTGGAGGAACAGGACATGCCTGTTAACAGTTAACAGGCATTTATTTTTCTTAAAGTTCAGAATCTGAAGTGACTGGGCTGGTCAACTTGGGAAAACCCAATAGACAAGGGCTTTTGGGTTGACCTTTGTGATCAACTTATAAGGCTCATGTTCTATTTTCTAGAAATATTTTGTCAAAGTAGTAGAGGTAGTTGAAAGTAAGAGTTTTCTAATATTTGATGGTGTCTCCCCTGTAAGGAATTTTGGAGTCCATGGAATTATGAAGTAACAAGAAAAAACCTCTCTTCTTCCCTTCTTTTCCTGTTCCAATATTATTTCTTAAGTGCTGGTATATGTGATGAACTTTGGTAGGTGTTGAGGGCATTTTGGTAAATAAGCTAGATGAGATCCCATCCCTTTTTGTTCTTGCTTTCTAAGTAGTAAGTACCAATAGAAGAATTTGGACTAAGGCCTTGTTTGGGAATACTTTTTTTAACAAGACCATTAGTTATGGTGAGGTTTAAATTATAAAAGGATTTATTAGAATTGACATGAGTTTTAGAGTTAGGCCAAGGTTCAAATTCCAACCCTGCCTCTTACTAGCTATGTACAAATACCTCTTGAAATGCCAATTCTGTAATTTTTGAAACAGAAATAATATCATCTATCTCCTGAGACTGTTGTAAGGATTAAATGAAGTAATGTGTGTGACCCCTAAGCAGAGGTCCTGTACCCAGAAGCAGCAGCACGCCTACCAATTTCAGGGGCTATGTAATCTAAAAATCTTAGTTTGGTTCCAGTATTTCCACTGGTTAATAAGAGATAACGAGATTGGATTCTACTAGCTTGTGTGACTCATAGAGATTACAATTTTCTGTAAGAGAGCTTTCTTAGAAAATAAATGTCTTTGAGGCTCTAGCTTGTCTTTTGCATTTTTATTTGCTTTTTGAAGCTTTAAATACTTAGGTAGAGACTCAGAACTATTTGAGTCATGTAAAGGAATTGGGAAATAAATCTCCAAGAGTCCACTATCTAGGAAACTGTGCCTTAACATTTTCTGGATTACAGACCATTGAGATGCTGATAAAGATGATCTGTCATCCTTCTCCCTCCCACCCTCAAATGACATTATTTTTTGCCCATACAGACAAATATTTTCATAAAATTTCAGGACTTTCCATTTGTTTACCCCAGAGTTACAAAACTCTTAACTTGACTCCCAAGCACAAATTCCACAAGAGAAATCAATCATTCCAGGCCCTGCCTTCACCTTGGCACAAGAGCTTCTGAATCTCTTGATCACACAGCAGGTTGTGGGGTTTATTTTCAGTCCTTTTTTTTTTTTTTAAGTCTAAATTCATAAACTGAGAATTGGATGTCTTTATTATCTTCTATGATACAATTGATTGTTAATCAACTTTTAAATAGTTGTATAGAGAGATGGGTTTGAATTCTGGTTTCTTTGGCATGTATTTGTGTCTTTATGTGTTGGAGTAAACACAAGGAAGAGATACTGTGAGAGCCTTTCTTAGGGGTAGAGGAAAGACCCGCCATCTGTTCCTGTTTCCTTCTCACCTCTGCATCCTGCCCAGGGCTCTAGTGTAAGGCTCCCTGCTGGCTTCCAGCAGCCCTCTGAAGAGAACAGACTGGAGGACATGGCATGGCAGTGAAGGGAGCAGGCTTCTTCCCCTCTTTTCTCCCGTTCCCGTTATTCACGCCTAGAGCCGTGTCAGGAGGAACTGTACATTGGCGGAGGAATTGTGTGCAGCTTGGAGGTGGGCGTGTGCAGCCCACATGCTGTACTGTACTTTATTTTTTTGGCTCGAGTGCACAAATTCCACAGAGAGAAAACAACCGCCCAGGCTCTGTTTTCACACTCACAGAAGGGCTTCCGAATCCCTGCTTCTTGTGGAAGAGTTGTCCTGTATTTCAGTCCACAAAGATACCTGGCTTGGCTCTTTTCCTTCAGAAGTCAGCAGCCCTTGCGACGTGGGCTGGCGCTGCAGGTGCAGGTCAGGCTGAGGCAAGGGGCCTCAGGACAGTGGAGACATGTGCTGCTGCTACCCGAGTTCACAGACTTACATCCTGTCTTTCTTGGATTATTATCAGGGCTTCCCAACTGTTCTTTTGCTTCTGATTTAGCTTCTACCCTGCATCCAAAATTTCATTGAACAATACTGATCTGTTGATGTCATTCCCTGTTTAAAACCTTTCCCTGGTGCTGCTCTTCAGATAAAGTCCGAATTTATTTGCTTGGCTTACGGGACTTGGCAAGTCCTGGCCTCTCTCCACCTCTTCAGCTTCCTGCCTCGCGCTGTCACTCCATGTGCCAGCCCCTTGACCTTCTCACCATACCCAGTGGATCCTTTGCACGTGTGGTTCCTCTACCCAGCTCTTCCTTTCACCTTTTCTGCCAGTGGAACACTTGCTTCTTTAGGATGCCTTTCTGGATCTCCTTGGCAAGGTTCATCTATGTTATGGGACTGAGCACAGTGTAGTGACTGCGAGTATGGACTCTAGAGTCAGGCTAGAGTTTCTAGTCTGGCTTCTAGCCCACACTGGCCCCTCTAGAAGTGTGTGCAAGGTGAAATCCGCCCTCTTGTTTCTTCATCTGTGAAATAGGAATTTTTACTTGTGAATTAGTAGACTTCACAAGTTGTTATGAGAATTAAGAGACAGCACTTTATAATGTTGATTGGTCATAGTCTGCATTCAGTGAAAACACTACTGTTTATTGTTGTTGACATCACAGCACTTTGTGTACATCTCTACTAAGCTCTTACCACCTTGGTTCATAGTTTTATACATCCGTCCTAACAGATCAGGTACTCCTTGAGGACCATTGCACATCCCATTTGCCTTCTCTGTGTATAGAAGTTTACAGCAAATGTTAATTGAATGAGGTCTTGCACTCAGATATACCTTCACAATGGAAATGGGCAACAGGCAGAATAAGGAATGCTTAAAATTGGATTTGTGGGTGATCACAAACTCAGAATTGATGTTACCTTGATGTCAGCTGGTTTACCCAGTTCTGTACTTAAATCTCTTCCGTTACCTCCTAGAGCACATTCAGTGTTTCTGTGTTGCCAAGATAGGGCAGCAGGCCATCACCAAGTCCATGTCCATTTGTTTTTGTTTTGAACTGCAGGTGACATGTCTGAGAGTAAAGCTAAGAAGATTGAAATCAAAGATGTCGATGGGCAGACACTTAGTAAGCTGATTGACTACATCTACACTGCTGAAATTGAGGTGACTGAAGAGAATGTCCAGGTAAATGCAGCCCCAGCTCTGTGTGTTACACACTCAGGTCCCACCGTTTTATAGTATCCTTCTATTTCACCTATGATAACTCCACAACTCAGTGGGTCACTGGAGGGGAAGTGGGAGCCAAAGCTCCAAAGCAGTTAGCCAATTTACTGTGGGTCACACGACCAGCAGGTATGTGAACTGTCCTCAGATTTGTGCCCTTGCACTTAACTGCTAGGCCATAATACTGCCGAATGAAATGGGGCCCCAGGGCAGAAAAGCAACTGTGGTTCACACTCTTGGCATAAGAAGAGCTAAGGCCTGGGTGACCCCGTTTCCCCCAGTCACCATCTCATCACAGGGATTTTGAGTATTGGATTTGTGAGGCTGTTAAAAACATTTTCTCATTTCAACATTAGTCAACCAAATGCCTCAGTGCACAGGAAGGTGCCAAGCACCAGGGCTGAGTTCAACAGGGCTACGAGCTGTGAATCTTGCTGTTCATGCCTTTTCCTCCTTTTGCTGCCTGGCCCATGTCCTCAGCCATCTGGAGCCCTGAAAAGAGGAGCCAGCAAAGCTACTGCTTCCTCCAGAAGCATTCATCTTTCCTTGGGGAACTGAGGCAGCAGCAGCTCCTCTCAGGAGGGGAGAAGCAGAAGGTGTGACCCATTCTGGAACCCTACAAATCACTGGACCAAAACAGTGGGTGGGCCAGGATACACTATTTCTTTCTTTCTTTCTTTCTTTTTTTTTTGATTTTATAGTAGCTTATTTTTACATATTTTTTGTGCATTTTCCCATTTCAGTTGCAATCCCCTTGGGTTTCCCACCACCAAATTTCCCGTGTGCCATCACCATAGTCCAGAGGATACACTATTTCTTAAGAACAGTGATAGTAATTACCTGTGTTATGAAAGGTATTTTTTTCTTTAAAGCACACTTCAATCTTGTTTTGTGAGGCAAATACCTCTCATGTGACCAGAATACCCATATCCCTTATCCAGAGTACCAGGCCCCTTTTCAGGGTGGAGGTATCTGGAAGACTGAATTGTTAATTGTGTACTTCAAGTCAGCCCAAATGTTAGAGTGCCTGTTCTGAGCAGGACATTGTTGGTCAGTGTGATTGTGATAGTGAACAGGGTGAGTTCACTGCTGGCTCTAACAAAGCTTGTGGTCTAGGGGTGAAGACAGATGCTCACAAGTAATAGCTACACACACATCTTGATAAGTGCATTGAAGGAAAGGAGCATGGTGCACAGTGAGATGGACTGTCACGGGGACTCAGTTTGGATGGAGGAAGAGATCTGAGATGGGTTCTTTCAGGAGAGGATTTAAGCGGAGGCCTACAGGATCAGTGGGAGTGAGTTTGATGTGGTGAAGGGGACACATTAGGGTCAGGTCCAGGCCAGCCAAGGGCCTGCGGCTCACTGCATGTGTTCTGCAGAGCCTGCCCCACCTCTCTAGAGCTTGCCTTTGTCTCTGGCTCCTTGACAGACTCTTGGCTTGTAGAACATCTGTAGAGAGCTGAGCTAATCCTCTCCCCTTCCTTTTAAAATTGAGGTATATTTTACACACAGTAAAATGCACAGCCATTTTGTTTGGTTTCTGGACTTTTTATCCAGAATGGACTGGGCTACATTCTAGGTTGAGCGGTAGAATGCAAACAATGGAATGACTTTTGGGCAGTAACAGTAAGTGCAGAGTAATTTAGTATGAAATGAGTATAGGGTATGTATTGAAAAAAAATGTTTAAATGGATGATGATTGTATCAAATCCCCACCACATTTAAAATTTATCTAGATACTCTTTAAGATCTACTTTAAGATTTAAGATTTACTTTAGTTATTTATGCATATAAGAACTGGGGTGCAGGCCAGAGGCATGGGAGGTGAGAGGACCCACCAGAGACAGTGGGGAGCACAATAGGTGGATCTACTGAAATACACTGCTGAGGGGAAGCAGTGGGTGAGACAGGAGAGATCTATGCAATGTGGGCCAGCTCACTGACTCGGGATCAAACTCATGGCTGGCGACAGACTGATAGTGCTAAGAATCAACCCCTGCTTCACCAGGTAGGCCCTCATTTAGATATTCTTATGGATCATACAAACATTGAGGTTAATAAAAATGCATCTGTTGAAAATCTAATGAAACATGCTAGACGCTAACCTAAAGATGTGCAGCAGTAAATTTTAAAAATTGTGCATTAGGGTACATCAGTCATTAATCAGATGATGCAGAATGCTGGCCTGGACCTGTGACCATGTTCGGGTAAATGCCAAAGAGGAATGAATGCTGCAGATGGAATTAATGTCGCTAATCAGCTGAACATGTGCTAGGCGATTATCTTGGATTATTCAAGAGGGCCCAATGCAATTTGAAGGGCTCTTTAACGTGGAAGAGGGAGGCAGCATAAGAATCAGAGGGATGTGATCTGGCAAGGACTCAGCTTGATGTTCCTGGCTTTGAACAGAGGGGGACCGTGAGCCAAGGATTGTGGGTGGGCTCTGGAAGCTGGAAGACAAGGGAACAGTTTTCCTTGAGACTCCAGAAGGAACGCGGGCCTGCTGATACTGTGATTTTAGCCCACTGGAACTCATTTGGGACTTCTGACTTACAGAGCTGTAAGAAAATAAATTTGTATTGTTGTAAGTTCCTAAAAGAGAAAAAGCCAAAACCCAAAGATACAGTATAATGAAGGTTATAGAACTGTATGATTGGAATAGCCCTTTTTCTCCCTATTCATCAAGTATTTCTGAATGACTTTCTTTTCCCTGTGACACAGAAAGTGGCTACAAACTTAGATGCTATTCCATTCTGGAACCTTCTTGCCTGAAAAGAACTCTAGGGAGTTCTTTTCAACTAACACAAGCATCAGTTAGGTTAAGGCAGGTGGCAGCAGGTGGCATGTTCAGAGGACTCTGGAGAAAAGGGGATTCATCAATTAAAAAAAAAAAAAATGTTGTTAGGGTGGGACAGGGACCAGAGTCAAGATGCGCAGGTTCAGAGGACATGCAGGAAGAGCAATGAGGCAGGAAATTGAGTGTAAGTGGAGGCTGGCCTGAGGCTCAGTTTCCCTTTCCCTGGCAGCTCTGCTGTCCCCTGCAGTGTGAACACAGGTACCGGGCTCGGTCGCTTCTGACCAGAGAACTTGCTCAGCTAGTTTCTGACTTACTGTCTGCTGAGCCTCCTTGAGCTTCTCTGACACGTCCCCAGCCACCCTGCCTGACCAGTTTTCTCATTTGTGAAACAGTACTCTGAACTGTACCCGTTCTATTGAGTGGTCACGAGTTGGACTGCCTGCATTCGAATCCTGGCTGCCCTACTTCTTACCTGTTTGACCCTAAGTGAGTTATTTAACCTCTCTGTGCTTAGTGTTTTCATCTGTAATGTGGGCATGATAACAGTGCCTGACCTCACAGGGTTGGCACAAGAATTAAATGAATTAGTAGCAGTAAAACACTTAAAGCCATGCCTCACACATGGTAAATGACCTATGTTGGCTATTATAACCGAGAAGAGAGAGGTGGTGAGGGGTCCCCATGCGTTGAAGGCTTTGCCTGGGTCCTCCCCTGCCTGGGTGTTCAGGGGGAGGAATGAAATGATAAAACAGGAGCTGTGCTAATGGGTAGGGGCAGAGATGAACCTGATCTTACCTGGAAGTGTTTGAAAATTCTTCCAAATGAGGGATAGTTTGGGACACCTCCTGCCTAGGTTGTGCCCAGAATTCCTGCCAGGACAGAGGCTGGGCCAGGTGCCAGCCAGTGCTCTGAGGAGCCAGCCCTTTAAGGATGCCTTAAATAGCCGGGTGGAGGGTGTAAGCAAGGCCCGGAAGGCGCACAGCTGAGGGGCTGTCTCAGCGTCCTTCCGCAAGGGAGGCTGTGTGGTCCCATCTATCTCCCTTCCTCCCTAAATTCCTTCTTTCTTCCTTCCTTAAGTTAGTACGTGTTTTCTGACCTCCTGCATCATGCACAGAGAGCACAGTTACACAAATGCACTTTCACTAAGGAAGCATGTGGTGTGAAGGCGGAGAGCTGGATTGGTCGGAGGTGCCCTTGGGCAAAAGAAATGGTTAACGATCAAGAGTTATTTTATGTAACTCTCATAACCACCAATGGAATGTTCTAAGATACTTTTTTTTTTTTTTAATGGTTGAATAAACTGAAGCTCAGAGGGGTTACTGGGGTAGCAAGGGGTAGAACTGAGCTGAATTCATCTCTCTTTTTTAGTGTCCTCTATGGATATGAAATACTCAAGTTTCTCATGAAGACTTGAGTACTTCACACCTTGACTTAGCTTATAAAATTACTACTAATAATAGCTAATTTAACCGAACACTCCTCAGCACCACGTTAACTGCTTTCAATGACCTCATTTGATCTGTGCATGCCTTTGCAGCACCGTGCTTTAAAACAATTTATTTTAAAATGAAGTACCTTTTTCTTACACCGTTGTGGACAGTGCCATTTTTATCTTCATTTTGCTGTTGACGAGACTGAGGCACGGGGAGCTTAAGCAGTTACCTGTAGCCGCCTGGCTGGTAAGTAGAGAAGTCAGAATCACACATGACACTCTCAGTGCTGTTAGCCCACTAACGTTCCTGTTCATCTATAAACACCTCTTTCCCTACTCTTAGCCCCTTCTTTCTTTCTCCTTTTCTTTCTCTCAACAGACTCTTCTTCCCGATGTTTATGTGCAGGCCTCATCCCTCGCACTGGCAGAGACAGAGACAGCAGTGTGTGGCCGGGGTAGAGGCCCTGGGCAGCCTGGCCTCCTGGCCCTCTGGCTGGTGCCTTCCTCTGGGCATGGCCCTGCCTCCCTGGAATTCCAGGAGTAGGTGCTTTCTGAAGCAGGGCATTTCCTTTTGTTTTTGTTAAAGGAAACAAACTCTGTGACGGGATATCCTCTGCTGTGTTTTCATGTTATCCAAAGGCCAGAAAAAACAGCTTGCACATGAAAAGTGGGGGTTTCGGGGGGGGGGAGGCCACTTTTTTTTCCTTTCCCTTTCCCTGAGCTGGAGGGAAACCTGAAAACTCTCTGCTGAAAGTCCTTCATGGCCTGTTTTGTAAGAACCAAAAAGCTGAAGTAGCAAGAGGCAAGCTAACAGCTTACTAAGCTTTTAGCAAGCTACAGATTACTCAGGGTAATCCTCCTTCCCTGTGGCAGCAGCCAGCAACTCCTCTGGCAACGGCCTCCTCTTTCCAGAGGCCACTTGGTACTGCCCTAGTGATGCTCCAGGCCCGTTTGGCTGCAGAGCTGAGGACCTGAGTTTGGTCTCTTGTCCATAATCTTGTTCCTTGAGGGAGCTGAGTGGCAGGCAAGAGAAGAGAAGAGGAGCTTTCTCTCAGAGCCGGTGTTGATGTGGGAGAGGGCAGGGAGGTTACCTCGCGGAAGTTTGCTCTCTGTCCTTCATCATCTGTGAGGATTTGTCTTTGCTCTCGTAACGTCAGCACCCAGGTGGTCCTGGGCCCCATGTGTTCCTGCGACTCAGAGTTTGAACAGTGATATGTCTCCCAGCCTCCACATCTTCCCCTTCAGCATTCTGACTTGCTTTACATCTCTTACTTTTCTTCCCTTGTACGAAGCAAGTAGTGGGAAGAAAAGGGCCTTTGACTCATACCTAATCGCAGTGTAAGATCAAAGAGGGGGAAGGAGCAATTAGAGAAACCACAAGCCCCTTCCATTTTAGGAAGTTAGTTGGGGAACACTGTGGGACAGGAGAGGACCCAAACAGGATGGGGAGGGATGTGGAGAGGTGGAAAGCCTTTTTATTTTTGCCTACTCAGTGGGTTTTGTGAACAGAGGGAAGTTGAAAACTGTGTGGGTAGCTCCATCCAGGGAGTCTTTAAAAAATGAAAGTACAGTCTAGGGAGATTATTCAGGAAGTCTTTATTTCATTTCTGTCTCATTGTCGTGAGTTTGAGAATTTAAGCACCAAATTGTGTCTCTGTGCTTGTGGTCAGGGAGAGGGCACAGGGGAGGGGAGCGTGTGTCCCTGGCACAATATGATCTTGACTTGCCTGGGAATGCAATCTGGGGGGGCACATTGGACTCAGATTTCCTCCTCTCTGGGGCTAAAGGACTGCTGGCCTGTTCTTGTCTCTTGTCACACCTGACCCTTCGGCGGGTTGTAGACCACTGAGTAGGGTGGGTGCTCGACAATATTTCATTATTCCTCTCCATCAGAGTCTCTTAGGGTAACTGGTTAGGAGTGCTGGTCCATGGTGTGAAAAGTCATCTAGTCTGGCAGGACTGAGGGGTTGCCTGCTCATAGGGCTTTGAATGCTAAAACTGGCAAAGTCTCATTAAACCAAGCTGGTGGGGCAACCTGTGGCCCTCACTCCAGGGTCTGTAGCTAGTGTCGGGCAAGGGAGTGTCAAGGAGCTCGCTGGGGGTTTGGAACATAGCTTTCCATTCCTGGTGTGTATTCAGCAAGAATGGTTAATGGTTCTCCACCTAACTAGCAAGCAGGGACTAATCTGGCCCTGGAATTTGTTTGGCTAATCTGAACAAGCTCACAGGTTAATTGAGTTTCCAAGTTTATGGCTGCTTTGTGGGGATGGTGTCTGTTCAGGGGGGCTGGAACTCAAACAGTTAGACTTGGAGCTTGGCTGTGTTCACTTATGATCTAAAAGCAGCAGGTACTTTTATCTTCTTCCTTCTCTGGAATGAATCAATGGTTCAGAAAAATACCGGGGGCACAATTTATAGCTGTCCTGCTGGAGACTTAAGACAGTGAAAAAGACAGGAGGGAAGAAGGGGGAGAGGTGTATGTTTTCTAGAACTCAGGGGTTGTGGAGGAAAAGTTTGAGCTGGTAGGCAGGAGGAACTTTCCTTGTTGAGAGTAGCAGTTCAGCTCAGGAGTATGCACCCTTACAGTTGACGCTCTTGGGGGTTTCTTTGTGTGGGCAGAAGGAGTGACCAGTCACCCCTGTGTCCTGGGCAAGCCTGGATGGCCTGTTATCCTGCTGAGAGACAGGGCCTGGCTTAGGCACATAAAAGTGACAGGAGCTAGAGCTGAGGGTGCTAAGTTATTTTAGGAGAAGGCCAAGGTCCAGAATTTAAAGCAACTCACCCGCCCGCCACACCCCCAATTTTTTTTTTTTTGTAGTGCTTTGAGTCAAGAAATCAAATGCACCTACAGCCCTTGTCTTCCTGGACAAACCCATGTAGATGACAATAACTGGGTTCAGCTGGAGGTGAAGTCTGACAGTCAGGGAGCAGCTGAGAACAGGGACCAGGACCCAGGGATTGTTTTGGTGTAAAACAGATGCTAGGATCCAGGGCTAAGCAGTTCTGTTCTGCTCTATACATTTCTTTTCTAAATTCCTCCTTGGAAGGTCTGCTCAGACTATCTCCCCGCTTTCACAGGGCAGGGCTAAAGGGGAGCCAAGCTGGGGATGTGGCAGGACTCTCTTGGCTCCTGGGTTTTGATGCAGAGCTGTGGGAAAGTCGTAGGCAAGCTTGACTGGGGTTGGCATTCTAAGCACCCATCTGGCCTGCTCAAGCCAGTCTTCCCTGGCTTGTAGTTAAAAAAAAAAAAAACATGAGTATATACCTGAGCAAGAACTATTTCTGTCTTCCATGATACTATTTAAATGCTCATGTGTCCTGTACCTTTTAAAAGGGAACTCAGCTCCTTTTTTCCTCACAGAATATGCCCAAAGATGTTCTTCCATTGGGGGAATGAAGTGTGATTCCCCGAGTCCCAAGGAATTTGGGGGTGACTTTTTGTTATGGTAGATCTTAAGTTTTGTAAGTGTAAGGGTGTTGTTTATCTTGCTTACCACTGATCACAGAGCCTAGACCTGTGCCAGGTAACAGTAATTCAGTGGTGAAAAGAATGTGAGATTTTTCAATAAGTTAGTAAACCTTTCTGATTAAGCACACTACGCTAAAGGCTGTGGGGCGGAGATTCCCAAACATGGCTGCATATTCAAAGCATCTGGGGAACACTAGCAGCCTCCTCACCGACCCTGTCTTCACATAGTCATGTTGTGGGTTTGGGCTGCAACATAAACATTTCGGGGTAAGGGGCACTTTGAGGTGGGGCAGGATACAAACATTTGATCCAAGTGGGGCTTTTCCTCAAAGTGTGGTTTATGGACCAGCTGCTGCAAGCATCACCTGGTATTGGTGGTGGGGTAGGGGTGATTGCCCTATTGAGTTAGAAACTGAATTTTATTACGATCCCCTAATAAGACAAATAATACAAATCGGTGACTGGGAAGCACCACTGTGGGCCCTAGAGATACAGACTCCACTGCTGCTTGGGGCCATGAAGTGGGGGAGGGGGGGTAGTAGTGGGAAGGAAGACTGGGGCTGCCGAGGTTTGGACCCAATGGGCAGGCAGAGGAGAGACAAGCAAGGACCTTCAGCATGGGAACCCTGTAGGGAGAAAAAGCCCTCCTGGTGGAATCCAGTGTCTCAGAATGTCACCTCTCCTTCAGGTGCTGCTCCCAGCGGCCAGCTTGCTGCAGCTCATGGATGTTCGACAGAACTGCTGTGACTTCCTGCAGTCTCAGTTGCATCCCACCAACTGCCTGGGCATCCGTGCATTTGCAGACGTGCACACTTGTACCGACCTTCTGCAGCAGGCAAACGCTTATGCAGGTAATGGGGAGCTGGCCTGTGGCACCTCCTCTGAGCTTGTGGATTTAATAACCTGGTCTCTAGTGGACTCCTCAAAGTTTATGGTGGCCTCCTCAAAAGCACACACAGAGGAGTGTGCTCTGCTGTGAAGCAGTTGTAATTTAGTCAGGGAGACAAGCCCAGGGGGAAAGATAATTAACAATAGAAGCGTTCGGCTCCTTGCCAAGTAGAATATGATTAATGGCCAGATGGATGGTACAGACAGTAATCTTAATGAGAGAAGAGGAAGGAGATTGAGAAGACTTCGTGGGGGGGGGACAAGTGAATTTAGTGAGGTCTTGAAATGAATCTTTTTTTTTTTTTTTTGCCATTTAAGAACTTCTATTTTGATCAAAGTGTTCTGCAAACATGATTTTAAAAGCCAACACTATTGCAAGGAATAAGCAAGTCTTGCTCTTAAGTGCCACTCACTTTAAATTTTACAAGAATTAAAATGTGGGTCTGATACACCTAAAATCTACCTTATCTACTATTTACCTCCATTTATCTAAGAAATATGTAAATACCACTGTTTCTGGATTTATTGATTTTCAGTATTATCTGTTGACTTCTCATGGAAGGTTGTACTATTACAGACTTCCTCTAATATACACATGCCCTTTCCCTCTCTTTATTCTCCTAATATCAAGCTAAGTATTGCATTTATTTGATGTTTTTTAAATAAGAAAAATAACAATGATTGATTTTTCCTTTTGCATAGAGAAAACTTGTGCAAGGCAAACACAACTGAACAGTCCTTCGAACATTCGATATCTGTTGATTTCATTTCATTTTCTTGGAGACATTCATCTACTAGAACTTGTCATACTGTTATTTTAATGGGATTTTGGGAGGGTATAGAAATGCACGTGAGTGTTCAGTAGCCATGTTTAGCTGGAAGGACATCTTCCTTTCTGTTTACATTAACTAGAGAATGGGGCTCATGAGTGACCTAGGAAACTGGCCTGGACATTTAAATGGACGATTCTGTTACACCACTTCCTTCCCTTACAATAAAGCATCCCATTCCCCTTCTCCCCACCAAATCAAATAACATCACAGCTATGATTCTCTTCTGTGTCTCTGTCCAGAGTATCCGGGAATTAGCTGAGGGTCTGGCTGCTCCCTCTCTTGGCTTAGCCCCTTGGTGTACAGGCAAGAAGCAGTTGCTCTGTTTCCTGGTATCCTCTTGCTCTCTGATCAAGTCCCAGACCCCAGGAGCCTGTGCACGCTCTCATTTTCCCCTGAAGTCTATTCCTGAGGCCACACCTGTGACCAGTTGTTCAGATCATCTTGACAATGATGATTTTGTGAAGAACATTTTGTGAGGAACATTTTGTGAAGCCCAATTCTGAATTCCGCTGACACTTCCGGGCTCTGAACCTTGACTCTGCTGCTTTTCTGTTGTCCTCTTGAGCGTCTCCTTCCCTGCGTGTCCCCCACCCCTTTCCACTTTTTGCCGGAGGGCCTTGGCTCATGCTGGGGAGGACTCTCCAGCCCAGCCTGTGAAGAGCCACTCTTTAAGCTCAGGCTTAGTTTCAGCAAGAGGAGAGACTGGGCCAGGGCCCAGGTTCAGCACATCAGCATCTGCTGAAGCAGTGGCCAAGGGAAGGTGCTGAGATGCCAGGAATTCGGGCTCCTCCGCCTTCCTCCCTCCCTCCTCGCCCTCTCCTAAGTAGAGTGTGATCGTGATGCATGTGTGTCCACCCAGCACGTATCCTGTCCTTCCATAATTGGCTCCCACTGTCCTCTGTGGCTTGTGTGTACTGAGCCTTCTCTTAACAACAGCCTCCCAGGTTTTTCTAGCCAGGCTTCCCCCTACTTCCAAAACCCTGTTTTCTCCTTTGTGCCTTTCACTGTCAGTGTGGAGAAGGTGCAGTTGGGAACACTTGTTGCGGTGGCGCTTGGATCCAGAGGTGGTCTCGGCAGTTGGCGAGGTTCTGTCAGCACTGTGTGGGCATGTGTATAGGCAGAGCATTTTTGCCCAGCATCAATCAATCTGTCACTTTGGGGCATGCTCTATGCGAAGTGTTTTATGTGCATCAATCTCATTTAATGCATACAGCAACTGAAAAACTAAGGCATAGAAAGATGAAGTGATCTGTTGGGGATCACACGGCTGGTAGAGACAGAGCTAGAACAAACTCAGACAGTGCTGACTGCAAACCAGTGTTCATAACTCCTGCATTCTACTGCTCCAGGGCCCATTTGGACATGGGATAGCCCTGTGAGTCGTTCACTGAGGAGTGTTGCTTGCTATCGTTGGCGTTTTTGTTGCAAGTGTGAGCCTGGAAGAGTATGTCACGTAGTCACCAAATCCCAACAGCCAGAAGGTGCAGACAGATGACCAGCTGTCTTTGCTAGACATGCGGCGCTTAGTCATCTTGGGTGGTAGGGGGGTGGGGGGGGCGGAACGAGATGTGGCTGTCTTCTCGGGAGCATGTGGAGTCTGCATGTGTGAGCTCTCCCACTTCCCTGGTGTGGTCAGCGTGACTTCAGGCTGACAGCCTCCTTCCTGTGATACTTCTTTATTATCCTCAGCTGTGCAGAGGACTCATAGTTTTCGGGTGGAATGTGAATGTAGCATTTGATAAGCCCAGGATGAGAAGACATAAAGGAGGTGTATAAAGGTAAGACCGTGCAGTGTTTAAGAGGAGGAAGTAAAAAATAATTATGCTTACTCCCTCACCCCCACCCACATGGTCCTCTCTTTTCCTTTGGTTTTGTCCTCCTGACGCTCGATGGATCCTGGCTCTCTCTCTGCCATCGCTGCCTCTTGAGACAGAGCTGCCGCCTCCTCTCACCTCAGTGTGGAGATTTGGACACCACTGGGTTGGCCCCTGAGCCCACGGACTTCCCTCCCCCGTGCCTTGCACTAGGAGTTCAGTCAGCAGACTACAAGGAGACTTTCTAGATCAGAAAAAAGATCAGACCAGTTTTGAGCTGAGTGACCCCTGGCCTCTTTTCTCCTCTTTTACAGTGGGGTAGTGCATCCTGCCCACTTTCCAGGACACATAGATAATGTAGATAGACACACATCCAGGTGGCTATCTGGCAATCATCTATCACTAGGTAATGCTTTGTAACTTAACCTAATAAAGGCAATCACTAGGCTTTTTTGGACTTCCTAGAATATTCTCGAATTCTCCCCAGACCCTTGTGGTGGATATAAAATCTTATTCTTTTTAATCCGCTGCATCATATGGATGAACTGTAACTCGCTTAAACAGTCCTCTGTTGATGGACATTAGTGTTGCCACATCTTTCTTTTTCATAAAATGCTTCAGTGGGAGTTCTTATACAGGATAATTTGGAGTATGCTTGCTAGTATTTGAATAGGTACTAGTATTTTAATAGTACAAAGTGGCCCCAAAGGAGTGTATTTTTTAAAAAGGAATAAATATTATCAACTTGTTTTCTGGAAAAAGTAACTTTTTTCAAAGTCAGCTCTTGCCTCCCGACAAATCGCCAGCCCTCTGGTGCAGGCCCTGAGAGGTGGACACGGTGCTGCCTGGGGGCTGGAGTGCGTCTCTCCACCCAGCTGCCTGTTTGATGTCCTGTTTGGGATAGGCCTGTCTCTTCCTGCTGTGGCTGTCCCTCTTGCTGCTTCAGGTCCAGGTTACCCCTCAGTGCTATGTCCCAGATTTTTCTGTGATACGTATTTTTCTGGGACTGGGCAAGACTGTGCCCCCTGTTTAAGGACTTAATGCTCAGAACCTTGGCCCCAGCTCATGTTGTCACAGTCCTCCTAGGCAGTGAGTAATTGGGAGAGGGCCCTGGTGTTTTGCACAGCATGTTTCTTAACCCTCATTATTGTTTGTAGGGGCTGCTTAATCTTTAACCACAGAGGCCAGGGCCTGGTTTATGGGGACTTTGTTTGGTAATTGGACAGCCATGCACTGGGCCATCAGCAGAGCTGGTTGGGAGGGATGTTAATGGAACTCCATTAATGAAATTGCAATTAAAATTCTTTGGACATGTTTACAACACTTTGCCAAACCTGAGCTAAACCCTCCAGCCATGGATGGAAAAACCATTGAATTTTACGTGTTAATGGAGAGAAATGGCCTTTTCCTGGATTGGTTGAATCATCGGAGATCATAGAATGAAGTGGTTTAACTAAGGGTAGCAAAAACTTTGACGAAACATTTAAAATACACGATCTTCTGACTCAGTGAGGACTCTTATGAAATCGCTGCCTCCAGCTTGGCATCATAAAATAATTATGCTGCTGATGATAGTAATGGTGGGCGTTTTACCATTTCTGAACACATATTGTGCCAAGCATGGCACCGCATACTTCACAGGCATCCTCATTTTTGTCACTCAGCGCTAAGTGGTAGTTACTTCTCCAGTGTAGAAATGAAGAAACTGGGATTCCAGGGAGACTTAGTAATTTTCCCAGGGCTGCCTCGTTTGTAAGTGGCCATGCTAGCACTCAGTGGGCTGTCTGACTGTGGAGCCTGTGTTCTGGGTCTGCTGCTTTTCACATCCACCCAGGCGAGCACAGTTTCTCTCTTCATGCCATTCACATCACTCCTGTTCCTCCTGATTTTCTGCCTCTCACTTGCAGGTGGCAAATGAAGGAGTAGTGCAGACCAGGTAGTTTTTGTGGCTGGCCATTCTCCTTGCTGGGATTTTAGGAAATGTTCCTTCCCTTTATTGAACACTTTGGTGTTGAAGCAATAGCACTACAACTGAGCAGTTTTGATAGTGCTTTGCTCTCTCTGTGTGTGTGTGTGAGAGAGAGAGACAGAGAATATATATATTATATGTATAATATATATAATATACATAATATAGATTTATTTTCTGGAATTAACATGGAAAGAAAGCTTGTAACTCACCATCATACCCAGGAACGGTGGAGCTAGTCCAAGGGCCAGAGGTCATGACCTTTGTCATGAGATCCCTTGTGGGATGAGGTCAAGGCAGGTCCCCGTTACTTCCCTGGGGAGCTGATTCCTCTCCCGGGAGCAGGG